GCCACCCTTTTACAACCCCTTACAAGCTTGACCCTTGCCGAGTTAAATTTTTATGACTTAACTATCCTCGAGTTAAAAAAAGCTTCATACCTCCATCTCCATCATATCTCAACTCGACCATCCCTTTGGAAATATTTACCTCATTCAGGTAAAAAAAAAAGTGTGTTATATCTTGCAAAATGTTTGTGGTTTTTCGAAAAGTATTTTATGACAGAGTCTCATGGAAAAAAAAACTAACTACGTTGACCGAAGCTATGACTTTTTTTCACTCACGAGCTAAACAAGTGGTTTTTATGGTGGCCAAGCCTTTTTATTATAAGCAAGTTCTAAAGGTCATACTGATGTTCTTCATTACGTTTACATCTGCTTTCACTCGTTAAATGTATCCTTGTGCTAAGTAACTTCCTTGTTCATGGCCTTGCTATTTTGCACTTATTTAAATAAATTGACGCCATGGAAGATGAAATACATTTTTCACATCCTGAGAATCCTTTAAATTTCAAATTTTAGAATTACTGTCCGCCTGAGTTGGAAGTTTGTGAAGCGATATCTTCACGAGCAATTCGCAATGGTGTTGAGACTCTATGAAGGGGATATGAACGACCCCTAACTCCTCTGGTAATTCTTTAAATTTACAACAACCATTTGCATACTGTTGTATTGCTTGCAAAGGATTTCATCAAGGACGAGTCCTTCCATTTATGAGTTAACCCTAATTGAAGAGGTAAGCCTTAACTGGCGTCCCTAATGTTCCAACCCTCACTTCTATACCTCAGGACAAAGTTTACCAATACTAACCAGAGTCGTTTAGGTATGTGAGAAGTTCCCTTTTACTTTCTACCTCTCCTCCTGCATCTCTCTTTGTCTGTTGAAACTGAAAATTCCATTTTCAATCGAAAAGAACCTCTTTAATATTGACTTTCTTCAACATAAATTTCATTTAGTATTCATAAACTATCATTAAACCTAAAATTTCCAAAGATTATATGGGTCAGATATAAATCCAAACCGAGAGTGCCACGTGCCTGTAACCCTTTTCCAAGAAAATCTAGGTAAGTTCTGGTAACTCGACCCCTTTTCAAAACTCTTCTATTGGTTCCATGATTATTGAGGTGAGGATTAACCCTTTGCAGGTCGAATATCTATTCATTAACCAATTAGTGAATCCTGGATTATCTTCGAAGACATATTGCTTCAATTATTGACGAAAGGGCATTTGGTAGTGTGGCTATAACTATAATAGACCAGAATATTTGAGGGAAGCAAATAATCTCTAGGGTTAATTAATTAATTAGCTAATAATGCAATTGATTTATTGATTATCTGATACGTAATATAGAACACTGAACATTCCTCGAGCTACGATTTTTATTACATTTTTAGTTATTCCCCCTTTTTGAATGCATACATAGTCGAATGAAGTCGATGAAGGGTTGAAGGACACTCACCATCAGCAATCCGTCTATTGGCTCAACTTTAACAACCCTCATTCACATGTATGATGGCCAATTAGATGGGACAATCATTTTTTACATTTAACCATAGAATGTAATATTTAGAGAATTTTTTATGAGCCACCGAACATTGTTTCATTCAACATATATGCATTCTAAATAGTTGGATTCCATACTTTTTCAGTCTTTGCTTTTTTTATGCTAGCCAGAATGCTAGTCTCGAGAGCTTTGAGTTTTTTACATCATAGTCTAGTCAGTTATACACTGGACTTTATAGCATTTCTCTCTACCCTTTCTTTCACTTTTGAATTGTAAAAATGTTTATGAGGAAAATTATCTAGCTTTTTTACGTTATTTATTTATTCAAAAATGATGACAGTCGTGGTGTGGATGTAAAAAAAGCAAATGAAAAAATTGTATCAGAAATTTATTGTCTAGTTGAAAAAAAAACAGGAAGGATAGCGAGACCCTTGATTTTGTTAAGCAAAAAAATATTAAAGAACAAAATGATAGTGAGTAATTTAAATGTAAACAAATCGCAGTTATCGAATTGGTATGATCAAACGGAAACATTCCTTTTGATGATTGCAATTATTATTCAGACACAAAATGGATCCGTCTGAATATGTGATTGAGAAGTTTTCGACCATGATTGCTTGCCTGAAGCACATCATAAAGTTCGTTCATGTATATAAATATATACATATCCTTCTCCCTTTGTCTTTCTCCCTATGCTCTCTCTTTCTTTTGCCTCTCTTCCATGGTTAGCTTCTACTGATTTTCAAGAGTACTAATTTTATGTTATTATTACTTCTGCAAATACAACATTCAACAGTTTCATGACCAGCTTCATGTCTGACCTTTTGGCGAATTGAGGCGAAATCAATCAAAGTGGAAAGAAGATCATTCAGCACACTAAGAGGAAGATCTTGACACAAAAATAGTTAAGATGCAATAAGAAAATAAAAAAGAATTGATGATAAAAAATTCCATTCATGGTTGTTGAAAAATCATCAATATCATCCTTAATGACCATCATTATTGGTGACTCTTCAGATGAGAAGATTAATGTGCGATAATCTGGTCAGAGGTTTAATTTGATTGACGACGACGTACGAGTGAATATTGATGCTGACTAAAGATCAAAGTCCGCCGAGAATTACTTTATCTAGTCTCCAGGCGTGCAGACGTGAGTTATGCATACGCAAAATAATGTGAGAACGTTTTTCAAACCGTTGACTAATGGCATTAAGTTTGCAGACTTTGACTTCAATCAACGAATAGCTATGAAAAATCAGAATTAATCGATACTAATTGCCAAAGTACGCAAACTTGTCAATCTCTTGTACATACGTTGATAGCTCTTGCTCATCGATGCATGAAATATTTATTATGATTTATTTCCCAGCATTCCTTTGGTATGAATGTAATAAAGATTACATTCATGCAATGAGCAGCGAAGTGAAAGAAGTATATAATTATTGTGAATACATTTACCTCTGAATATCGAAGTGAGTTCAGGACGGATGTTTTGAACTGTTAATTTATTCAACAAGCAAACAGTAGCTACTACACAATCGTTTAAAGCAATTACTTTAAACTGGATTGTATTTCAACTATTTTTTTTTTTTTTACATCAAGTGTAAAATAATGATTGAAATAAATATTTAAAAAATCTTGGACTATCGATTTTTAAAAAGGGTTCAAGCAGACAACTCTTCCGACAGTGGGTTTTCAAGGTAGCGCCAGAACTTGAGCCACATTCCGATAGGTGGGGACACTCTAGCATTATCATAGCGGAATTTTCGATTTAAATAATATCAAAATTATAATAAATATCCTTAAAAAAAAAAAAAAATTGTCACTCGATTAAATTATTCATTAAAATAGTCACAGTTGATTGGATACATATCCAGTTGAATATTATCTAGTATATTATCTACTCTGGGAAATGCTCGAGAATCACGACAATTTTTTGATAAAAACATGTTTATAATCATTGTTGGAGAAAAATTACCTGTGGTCCGGTACTGTTATGATATTTATCTATAGTTCAATTATTCTTCGTGAGGGTGGTTTGAAAAAGCATTAGCAGATACCAAACTGGTAGTTCAAGAACTCCTACAACATAATGTCATGTGATATTTATACATTTAACCCCAAGGAATCACGTTATCCCACGCATTATTCGCATACTCATAAGTACACATATGAATCGCGGAAACGTTAGATGTGGAATGACGATTACACACCCCTCTACTTCGCGAGTGCATCGCGCGCGGCACGCTCTGCACTATAATGATCCATAGTAGGGGAAAAAGCTCACCAATAAGAAATCGTCTGTCACGCGCCGCATCAAATCCCACTCTTGCTTGTAGAGGCGCGACGATGGTGTCTCTCATGTTCTTGCATTTTACCAATCGCTCTGTCTCTCTATAGCCTCACATCAGCACCGTTTCTCTACCCTCGTCTCTTTTTATGGATCTCTCTCCACTTCTTGGTCTTCTCTCGCCAACTCACTCTCACTCTCTCTCTTGCACGTTTCGCTTTCAGACGCGTGATCCCCAGCTTCTTTCGTCCTCTCATCTCCCCTGCTGCGTCTCAGAACCGCCGATTTATCCCTTCCTTCGGCATCATCTTAATGCTCCCTTCTTCATTCTCCTTTGTATGGATGAAGGAAAAACGGATCCTGGTCTCTTATTTTCCTTTTTTCTTTCTTCATATCCCCTAGGTTATTTTTTCCTTCAACTTTGCCGGCTGGAGAATTTATTTTGGACCTTTCAGCCATTCTGCATAATTATTTAAATACAGTCACGCGGAAAACTAAGTGAACGGGGAAAAGAAAATCAAGACGCGTGCCAGAGAAATACACGCACGACTGTGTGTCAGTTATTTTTAAATTATATTTGAATATGTTGTGTTATTTTAAAGTAATCTATGACATTTTGTTGACAAACCGACACATTCTAACGTCCTTCATTTGATTGTCAACCCACTGGCTCGACTTTTAATCACCGTTGATTTTTTTGTTTCACGTAATTGATATAATTATCATTATCCTTACTCTCATCCTGTTAACATGTCGTTAATAATACGAGTTATACAACTAATCGATGAACTTAATCGCCGGAAATAGACCTAGGATTATCATCTCATAAAAGTAAATAATAATAATACTAACAATTTTTTTTGTTTTGTCGTGGTAGTGCATCATCCTTGATGTTCATAATTTAATGAAATGTGTTTACGCACCAACGCTTACTCAATTGAAGACGAATCGAGATTTCTTTCTCTCTCTGTCCTTCGATTAATCGTCGACACGCAAGCCTCAGACCCAACAGGGGTCCGTGCGACGTCCACCGACTCATCATGGAGGGGTGGAATAATAGTGGGAGGCCTTGAGGGCATTCGAGTGCCGCTCGAGTGTCGGAATTCCAATGGTGGGAGACAGAAGTCCAGAGTAAACCCATGCACAGACCGTCACGCGCTATTCCTCCCCACCTGACTGGTTTCTCCTTCCACTTTTACCCCTGGCAAGCATTCCAACGCTCGCCTCACTCCGGACTGAACCTCAGAAACCGTCTTGTTCTTCTTCAGTCAGTCGCTCTCTGACGCGCTTTGTGAGAAGTTGTTTCTCTACGATCTCGAGCAAGTCACGAGCAATTATTCAAAACTTCCAAGTTTTTTTTACTTTGAGATAAAACTTTAGTTTCTACATCTTAAAGTATCATTGGAATTATTGATTGGATTTAAATAAATTGAAGTGCGAAAAAAACTTTGTGCTCATTTGGATTAATTGTGGTGTGTCATCAGTGATTTATTGAATTTGTGTGTTGATTGTCAATTTGAACATTTTAATATTAACAATAACATGGTGACTGGAGTGGGTGCAACAATGCCAACGGGGGGTGTTTCTGTTGGCGCAACTCCGCCAACACCACACGTGCCGCAAGAAGCTGGTCAACCGCCTGCGCAAACTACCACCACGACCACTTCAACGAGAAGATCAGGCGAAAATCGACGGGTTAGTATTTATTTAATATATTGATCGATTTTTTCTCATCAATAAAAGATGATGTAAAAATAGCTTTGACGGAAAAAATATTTTATCAACTCGTCTAACTGAACTCAATTTTTCTGATTACAGAGCAACAAACCTATCATGGAAAAAAGACGTCGTGCCCGCATCAATAACTGTTTGAATGATCTCAAGACTCTCATCCTCGATGCAATGAAAAAAGACGTAAGTATTTTTTTTTATTATCTCGACTACTTATATAATAAATTATTTTCAATTTATTTCCCCTTTCAACTTCTACTAAAAAAAATTAAACTTGATGATTAATAAAAATTATTAATAATTACAGCCAGCACGACATTCGAAGCTAGAAAAAGCTGATATTCTGGAGATGACAGTCAAACACTTGGAGACTCTTCAACGTCAACAGGTCGCCTTGGCTGCTGCAACAGATCCAAATATCCTAAACAAATTCCGTGCAGGATTTACCGAGTGTGCCGGTGAAGTTGGCAGGTTCCCTGGCTTAGACGCCTCAGTGAAACGTCGTCTGATGGCCCACTTGGCATCATGCCTAGGACCAGTAGAGTCAGCTAATTCAAATGGACAACCAAGTCAACCAGTCGTCCAGCCAGCTCCACCAACCACTCAACTTCAGGTTCATATTTTACCTCAAGTTGATGCAACTCCAAGAATCCAAGTGCAACAATCCAACGGAATCTTCTTCACAAATGCCAATGGTACCGGTTTACAACTAGTACCAACAAGGCTACCCAACGGTGATATCGCTTTAGTCTTACCTGCCGGCGCAAAAGCAACTCCAGTGACATCACCGGCATCATCACCAGCACCATCATCACCTTTACCAACTTTAATTCCAATTCCTCAAAGAACGGCAAGTACAGCTTCAGCATCATCCTCATCATCTTCATCCAGTTCTACGTCAACCTCTGCTGCAAGTCCTGTTGCATTTGAGGCACCTCCAACCTTCCGTGAACAATCACCAGCATTCACAACTCCTACAAGTCATAGAGACGTCGCAACATCACCAGCTAATGGATACACAAGTGATCCTGAGTTTGATCCACGAGTATACAGTCCACCTCTTCAGAAACCTCTTGCTCTTGTCATGAGAAAGAGCGTTGTACCAGAAATTGAAGGCAAACCATGGAGACCATGGTAATTAAGTATCGATTATGCTAAAAGTGACCAATGTAGTCAGATAATTTATTTTATGTCATAAAAAAGAGTACTCAGTGTCATTTTTTTAAGCCAGAGGCACTGGAAGAGATTAAAAAGGATTAAAAACAAGATTTTCGGTCGTTATGGTCAGTAGCCTATGAGGCTGTGCCTTATACAGTGCCTTGTAAATAATTTGGCGTTATATCTATTATGTGTTATTTTCATTTAAATTTATTATTTTCTCGAAGAAAATACATTAATCTTTCTTTCGTTATTTCTATTGTTTCTGTGTAAATAGATAATATAATATGTATATTATGTTAAGTGCCTTACGCAACAAGAATCATCGAGGTCTTCCATTATGTTCTTGTAAACAAAAACCGCAGAAGTATATATGAATGTTCTTTTTACAAGAGTATACAATTACTTTGAGCATTTGTAATTAATATTTTTTAAGTTTTAGATTTTACTTTATTTTAAAACATTTATGAATGATTACATGAATGAATGTGATATTAATGTGAATATAAGAATGTCTTATTTATATTTATGAATGCAGAGATGATATTTGAGTTTATTTCTATCCATTATGAAGAATAGAAAATCACGCTTATTACAATAGGAGTATCTAATAAATATATATTGATCTCTTTATGAAACCTTATAACATGACTTTTAATTTGTTCAAATATCCCCACCACATCTTTTATTATTCATACTTTTTATTTTTAATTATCTAAAATCATAGCAGACTTGATAAAATATTCCTGATGATTAAAATAGAAGTTGAAATATCCTGTGTATCTCCAAAGTCAATTTCTGGTCAAGTGCTGCCACTCTACGATAATCTGGCCAACTTTTTGGGTCTTCAAACCGGTCCTCGGACCCCACTTAATGTCTTATAGAGTTCGAGGGGCATCAGGACCCAAAGTCCAGCCTCCCATGGCTTTGAATGCATCTTCGATCCCTTGCTGCCACCTACCAACTACTTGAAGAAGCTGAATATCCTTCGTCCTTTGCTTCGAATTGACCATACAGTCATAATAATTATTGTTCACTTAAATATTTCTTATCATGAATGATTTCATACAGAAAGTCACGTTTTTTCTTATCACAACGTTCAAAGCTTTAGTGGTTGTAAAACGATAGTTGCATTCTTAAACCATAAAACAATACTCACATAAAAGATATTTCTAGGTTTACTACATAAGCTTCATGTTTCATAGTGAGTTTAAAAGCTGAATAACAAAGTTTATTAAAAATTATCTGACTAACTAATGCTTCATAAAAGACAACTGACGATAATATTGATTACATAATAATCTCTAAAATACAAACGCACATAGGAGTATCGAAGAAAAAAGTAACTCAAATAATTGGGACAAATACAGATTAAAACTCTCGAACTTTGCAACAATCGTGCGACGTCGAGTGTTATTGCAAAAGCCATCTACGTCACGACTTGATACAGTTGCTTATTGAACCGTTGATGTCTTTATCTTAATCCCTAGCATTGTAATAAGCAATTGCCGTGAACCTACAGTAGTTGCTTTAACAGAAGTCTGACCCTGACTCTTTCGAAATAGTGAGCTTGGGAATGCGACTAGTCCGGGTGAATGGCTGTCATGTCACAGCGGATGCAGTTAGTGATCTTTCAACGAATCAGCTGTTTCGCAAATAGCATTTACAATCAAGAGTCAACGCTTAGTAGTACATACACTGGCATATGGTCGCGGTCGCGTGGTTTCAAGGACAAGGCAAGGTTGACACGCGCCGCGATTCGCTTGCAATAAGTGGGGGGTCTACTTAACTCTGGACTGGCACGGTGTGGCGCACAACCCGACTTGCGATCCCCGTCGTAGCATAGCTTAACACGTGCCTTGTGTCACGGACTCCGGTCACAATACATCCGGTTTCCACCTTTGTCATACCAGAATCTATCACTTTCCTGCCTGGACTTTCCTCAATCCTTTTTCCTCATCAATTAATGCTCCTCTATCAATACTTTCTAGTTATGTAAAAGAATCAAGATCTGAATTGATAAGTTTTTATCAGGCATTAAAATTCAAATGAAAAGGAAGGTGATAAAAAAATATTCGCTTGATTGTTTTAAAAGTAATCAATTGATTATGTTATTCAATACTCTAAATCGATATTACGATTGGTCATTGAAATTTGATTTGATCGAGAACATTAAAGTTCAATTGGTCTAATTATCTTTTATTGCTTTACTAACGATATAATGTTACAGGTTGGTATTTTATAAAAACAGTAAATTTAAATTGGTCTGATTAAAATTGCCGGTATAAAATTTAATGTATGTCATTATAGAATTAGTAATTAGTTATAACTAATATCTTGGTTTTCATATCGTGTTTAGTTGTAATTTCTAACTGTCTCGTTCACATGGTTGTTGTTTTTTTTACTAGTTACTGCAAAAAATCAAGGATATTTGACCAGCTACAATGTAGTGAAGATAATTTCGCAGTGTATGATCATCATTATGTTATTAAAGTAACCATTTTCTTGTTTCTCCATCTAAACTTGGATACTCTTTGATAAAATAAAGTAATGGACATCAGCGGATGTTGAAATCAGTTTAAGAATCGTTAATGTTGTATTAATGTAATTCGATACCCGTTGGCAAATCCGGCGGTTATTGAAAAATGTGTAAATACTATTCATTATATATTGAAATAAAACTTGGAAAAATAAAATATGTAAAAAATACGTCGCAACGATGGGCGAGTGGCGTATCTAATCTCGTCATCGCACGACTCTGTTATTTCCGTGAGATCTAAAAGCGTAAAATACCAGTCACTTGAATAATGAGCAGTTTTATTGGCTCTTTCTAACGTTTCACTTAGTCAAATTTTTTTTTGTACGCGCGAACGTGTAATCAAATGCTCGTGGAAAAAAATGAGTTCAAGTTTTTGAAGTCGACCTATGTGTAGCTGACACCAAGCTACAATTAAAATTCAAGTAATATTTAATCTAGTCAGTTGAAAGAAAAATATTTCGAAGAATACCTCAGAACTCACGAACTTTAACCAGAAGACAATTTTCATCTGATACTAAAATATGAATCAGCTAAATAATGACCAACTCATTTTTTTTTCGTAATCATTTAAATTTATCATGAATCAACATAATTTCAAAAAAAAATTGAAATTTTTTAGCTTCAAATGAAATAGCATAAATGTTTTTTTAAATGATGGCAAAAAAATATTATTAATTGACAAAAAATGATACCAATAAATGGAAATTTGAATGAAAATGTCATTTTTATTGAAAAAAGGAGCAATGAACTTTGACTAAAGTAGTGAAATACCACACTGTCATCAGAAAGACACACTTGAAGACTCACACAGAACGGCAGGTGCGACCTATTTGCTGTGATGACGGTAGAACTTATAAGAGATCCTAGGGCGGAGTAACGGGGACTTTTCTGATGATGATCTCGACAGAAGAATTACTCGTCTAACCCTCTCATGTGTATATGTAGTAGCTCTCTGCTGCTTAGGTAATCTAGAGCACCTGCAGCAATAGATAAATGACTCAAAAATGCTTCATATACACAATAAAATGAAGTAATAAATTATTTAAGTGAATAATAAAATTATATGAAGGTGTAATGATTAAATAAGTGCGTGGAAAACTCGTTCAACTACTTGAAGATCCGTTGGAACTGGTAATCCTGCAACTCACTTGAAAATGTATATAGTAAAGTTGTAAGTGGTTTGATAAAGAGCATGCCAATTCATTCATAAGTGCTTGCTAATAATATTTACACACTTTTACTATAACAAGAATTAGATAACAGCGTAAGTATAATTTGTGTTAACATATTTTTCTATTTTGCTGAATTTTTTCAATGGAAGATAAGCATCCACTGAAGAATAGACAAATGAAAGGGTAGAAAAGTGTATTTATATACAACGATGGAGGTATTCTCTGTTGGCTATACACACTAGACGACGAGTTTATCTGATGCTCTTGTTTTTGTTCAGCATTAGAGACCCACGACACGTGTCTACCGCAGTTGTACTTGTGGTGTCATAACAAAACTACTTCTTTTCTGCATTATGCAACCTAGAAATCCTCTTTGGCCTTTTATATCTATAAAAATAAAAAAAAAAAAACATTAAAACCTGCTGTAATAGCAGGCTTTAAATATCAAAGCGTATTTATACATATGCATAATATTTCTGAGCTTATCATAATTTTTTTCAGCTTTATTTGTTGTAAATTTATTTGTTTTGAATAACATTCAACTGTTGAGATGATAAGAGTCTTATGTAGAATGATTTGTAATTTTCCGTCTGGAGATTCAGATATTCATTTTCACACTTGACTCATTTTTTTAATCGTTATCATCCACAATAATTCTCGTGAGGTCGCGTATGATAATAAAAATTCCACGAGTACATAAATTTATAAAAATAAAAGAGGACTATAAATACTTAACGGGTCGTAAACCTTGAGAATGCATAATTTCCGTCTGACCCCGTACAGCAAATAACAAGCGGCAGAATCGCGTGGTCAAACGACTTTTGGCAAGTGTCCAATCTCAATCCAGTCCACAAGTCTCGCTTCAAACCAATCTTCCTCGTCAGCTCGTAAAAACTTCTCACCTAATTAAGACCTCGAATTTCGATGGATCATAGACCGTGAAAGAGTGAATGTATTATCATCATTCAGTCAAAATTTTTTATTTTAAAAGGTGATTACAATAGTAACGTTTACACTTTTATCCAATCTACTATAATATAAGATAGAGTCCAAGTTGTTCCGCTTAAATCCCGTTTATTGTCTAGCATTTTAAATTATTCACGAAAGGTAGATATATTTTTCAAGATAATTAAGTCCTAATCACCGAGAAAGATCGACGAAGAGCGAGTCTAAATCGCTCATTGTTATGCATAGGCTGAGAACCGAGTCTTAAACTAAAGGTAGACCTCCAGTAATTGATTTCTATCCAACCATGATATTTACATATACTAATGGTGCTTCGTTTAACTTAACTCCTGGCCTGATTCTTCTCTCCGAGTATCATCAAGCCTTACAGGACACTATTTAGGGATTGATTAGCACCGCAAAATTGCCCACGAAACTTGTACCTTCTTCACGAAAGCGATGAGCACAAGATCTTGCCTATCAATCAGTCAGCTGATTCAAATTCTCACCCTCCATTGAAAAATTACACTCCGTCGAGCATCACAGCCCATTCTCAGTGTCATTAACGTATAACCTGTCGCGACGCTTGTGAGATGGTGTCTTTAAATTACAGGAGGTGACACGACGTGATTTAAATCCTCACTATCATGTCTGTAATCATCATATATTGTCCCATGTCTGAAGCATGTTGACTACTGTCTTAAATACCCACCCGTATAAGGGCCATTTCCACCATCATTACCTCCTTTTTATCAGCATTATTTTGAGAGTTTTTATTAACCAACTTATGTAATTATTATTCCTTCTCTTTGATCTTCGGCTTTTCCTTGTAATCATCCTTGATACTTTGACAAATGGTTATCAATATTAATTACTTGACATTAATATCTGAATTGCTTTTATGTAAGTCCATCCCACATCGTTTAAACAAATCTTAGTTTATTCGTCAGTATTT